CACACACACACACACACACACACACACACACACACACACACACACACGTTATTATATTTATTATTATAAATTATTTTCTTTTTAGTTCAAAGTAGATTGGACAAAATATGAAAGTTCTTTAGGCTTTAAGTGGCACACGTAAATATGAATGTTCTAAATTGTTTATTTTTTTGTTTGTTTGTTTATTTTTACAATGTGTGTTGTTTGAAAAAATAAATTTAAAGTAATGTGACCAAAAATTGTTGTTTAATAACGGTTTTGCTGTTTATTGCTCTCAAAACTTTGAACTGGTGGCTTCAAACATTGCTAATACTTTTGAAACGTAAAAATATAAATATCCGGTCTAAACTTTTATTCTGAAAACCCCCTTTGCCCCTGTTCTGGCAATGCTCTGCGTCACTCCCGCTAACCTCGTATAGCTGGAGCGGCTCGCGGTGGCACACGCACCTTGCAGAATATAAACAGACAGTCTTTCCCCACCCCCCAGTCCCCCGGCCCAAGAAAGAAGAGGGACAGCGCTGTTCTCTGAGGACGTTTACGACGCATTTTGTCCCGACATTTCTATATAATGACACATGCGCAATGATAAGTCACGTATCATTGAGCACTTTTAAGTGGATATATGGAAATTCTCCAGCTTTTCTAGTGGGTATACAGCATATACCAGCGTATCACATAGACTACACCACTGCTTAAACATCTGCTTAGTGCACAGATTCCCAGTGGAGGGATGGGTGAAGATTTCAGCTGTGTGGACACTTACTGGACCGAATATTGTTTGGTCAGCACAGACCACCCAAAGCACTGAAAATGGACAGTCACTCCTCCAGATTGTTTCAGTTACTGCAGCTGTGAGTGTGCGTTGAGTGTGAAAGTGTGTGTTCTGGGGACAGATGTTAAACCAGAACTGGAAGTAAGGATTTCCCAAAAATGTAATGATTTGCTGACTATTGAACAGATTTCAGAGGATTTCAAAGCACTGAATGCCTCACATGTATTTCTCTTCTAAATCTATTTACAAGTTCCAGTTAAACGCTGCGTGAAAATAACTTTTTTCAAATCTCCACTAAGCCTTGTACCTGCTTCTATTCTTTTTCCTTGCAATCTTTTTTCTCTGTTTTCCTGGCTGTTTGATGGAGTGTGTGTTTGTGATTCAGCGTGTGCTGGACTTTCATATCGCAGAACAAAAGCAGACTTTCAGGAAAGTAGTAAAATCTACAGAACTGAGTGTTTTTGATTTGTTGTTGTCAAACAAAATCACACCTCAGAACATACAGTATGATCAGTACTAAGACAGAGATTCCTTATAATCAAATGTAGGTCTGAAAACTTTTTTATGATTAATAAAATCAATCCACGACAGCTGTCTTGATGCATAACCCGCCATGTTCTTTTTTTGTCTCTAAATAGGATTAATTTTATGTTTGATGAAAAATGATTGTGTGTAACTGTTCTTTTTGTTTACCTTGGCTGCTTGTGGAGAGCAGGCGACGTGAACTGTGCTGGGCTTTACCCCGTTTGCCTTCGGTCTCTTATAAAGTGCAAAATGGCTTTTACGACGGCCTCGGTCTCCATTGGGCAGAGAACCATTGTACCTGTGCACACACACACACACACACACACACACACACACACACACACACACAC